ACAAAAAAAAGATTTGTAAATAAAAAGCTGTCTTCTAAGCACTAAGCGAAATGTGACTCTTATAATAATTAATAATCTGTTTATAATAATTTTTATGTTAGTCTCTCGTTAGGCTTAAAGGTAACATTCGTGCTGTGCACTCGTGAAACGATGGAAAAATGCGATATAAAACGAGAAATACGTGAGGTATATATATGTAAATGTATTATGTGTATATATTTATTTATATTTATTATTTATATTTATTATATATATATATATATATATATATATATATATATATATATATATATATATATATATATTACTAGCAGCATAGCCCCTCGTTGCCCGTGCTTGATTCAAAAATCGTACGACTCATACAGCAATCGCTATCACTTGACTTAAAATATTTTTACCCTTCCTTGCCTTTAAAGGAAGTGCCCTTTGCCGTGCTGATGTTGCTACATGCTTTACTTCTTGCCTATTTCAAACTGTGAATTTTTTCTAAGGTCTATAATAAACATTAAATCTGTTACGAAAAAAGAACTAAACAAAATGAACACAAAACGATCAGCTTTAAAAAAAGTACTCGTAACTGGAAAAAACCGAATGAAAAAAGAATGTTAACAACAAATACTTTTTCACACCCAACCCAGTTCTGCGGAATCAGAATCAACGTTGAGTTTAAGCAAGCGAATGAGCCAATTGGAGTAAAGTGCCATGCAGATTTAAATTTTTCCCACTTGTGAAGAATGCAGCTATCGATTTTTTGCATGCAAGCATGCTAGTTAACATTCGTGTCAGTCAGTGGTTGGCTCTCACACTGGCCAATAGAATCTTCCTGCCTATTCATGGCAGCCAGCTGTAGGCTCTCACTCTGGCCAGTAGAAAATGGCCGCAGACTACATGAAAACTGCCGTAGAACCATGAAAAAATCGATTATTTCCACTATCGATGGGAGTTGGGAAATGCAAGGTCAGTCTTGGCCTTTCCGCTAATTTGGAGCATGTGCATGTAAATTTTAGTGCAAATCCGTCGAAAATTACGGCCGTGCATTCGTTATGCACACACACACACACACACACACACACACACACACACACACACACACACACACACACCCACGCATCCTGCCTTTTATAGATAGAGATATATTACATTATATTTATATATTATATTTATTTATTATATCTATATTCATTTATTTATTTATATGTGTAGCTGTATGTGTACATGTATGTATGTTTGAAAATTTATGACTATTTTTTATGAAGACTGGGCAATTGACTAAAGAAGAAGAGGCTGAAAGCCAAAGACGTGGGCTGACGACATAACTGAGTGTGACGGCGGAAGAACATTCAGAGATTCAAACGGCACGCCACCGAGAAAGATGAGGTCTGTTTCTTTACTAGCGCTGTTACCCTACGACCACATCCGGTCATATGACTGGCAATTATGATGACGATAACAACGATAATGGTGTAGTGCTTCAAATTCAACAGATTTATCTGATTATTAAGGAAAAGTTCTTTTGATTTGTTCTTCAAATATTTGCCATCAATAAACGCGGATGTGAAGGTAGTGTGATAAATAGTGCCTCGGAATGATTAATCAGATCGCAGAGTTTAAATTCCTGTTGGGTTCATTATATTCATTTACTACAGAAGTGTATAAATCCCTAAGCCCAAGCCTTCCACCAGCAATGGGTTAGATAGAAGCACTTGTATCTGGACAAAATCATTGCTAATCTCAAGAAATTATTAATGCTATATTCACTCGATAGTGGATAAACTATATGATTCGTATCTGGAATAATCATTGTACTATCACAGATATTTAGACATTAGCAGACAATCGAGATATATGTAGAGAGGTTGCCAGGTATTCAGATTTGCGCTGACTCTACGACCGCATCCGGTCCTGAGACAAACGATTATAATGACGATAGAGTTGTTTTGAATTTTTAGTTCAACGCTGATTTACTTGATTATTAGTGAAAGTTTTTAATCCTATTTTCATACAACTTTTAAATGTTTCGTTTGATAAACGTGAATGTGCAGGTGGTGCAATGGTTAACGGCTCAGAATAATAATAAATCAGAGAGAAATGTTCGAATTCTGGTCGGGTATGTTATATTCATTTACGCGCACATAACGTTAAAAGCAGTAAAAATCCCTCCTTCCCTCCAGCTATGGGTTAAATAATAGGATTTGTATCTGGAGAAAATCATAAAATTGTTAATTCTTATTCTAAAAATTAGAAATCGTTAATTGTTATTCTAATAGCCCTAAATATTTTTCGCCTTAAGAAAAACCGTTGATAAGTCGTATAAAACAAATTAATCGTTGAGAAACTTTTTCTTTTTCTTTTCTATGTAGGCTACCTCTTAAAATTCTCAATTTTGTAAGATGTAAAATGGTTACTTGAAAATATCCGAAGCCAAATTGCTGTTACTAAGTCGATATTACGAAAAGGAAATAAAATAAGATATTATAAGATATATATATATATATATATATATATATAATAAAAAAGGCTTAAACACTAATATTCCATAGTCATAATTTATTCCATTGGAATCGTAAATACGATCCAATTCATCAGACCTACAAATTCAAAAAGAAAACAGAAAAAAAAAAAAAAAAAAACAACTCCGGAAATAAAAACAGAATTTAGAGAGAGTCTAGAGAAGGAGGGAGATTAAACCTTAACAGAGAGGATTTTAGGAGAGGTGAGTGGAAGGGGTTTAAGTAAGAGAAATATGAATGTTGTCGGATGTCTAATGCATCAAGATACATTTCGTGGTGACATACACACACCATAGACAATTTAATGTCAGAATAAGAGGGAAGGAAAGACGAGGTGGGGGAGAGAGATGGGGCGAAGGAAAGTAAAACTGAACTACATTTACTGAAAGGGCCGCTACAGATAGATAGATAGATAGATAGATAGATAGATAGATATAAAATAAGATATTACGAAAAGGAAGTAAAATAAGAATTTCATGTTGCGATTGTTTGTCTTACGTGAAAGATCTCTAATGACGAAATCTCTGGTTATGATCTCAGATCACGTTTGTCCCAAACACATATCCTGTATTTATTCTAGCTCAGAAATAAGCGTACGTGAACCCACACAATCATGTCATATAATAAGGTACACATGTTTTAATAGAGTCGTTAAAGTAAATAAGAAAGTTATCGCAGAATAGCCGATGTCTGGTAGGAAAAAAATATAAAAAGGATTGAAACAGGTGTAAGAAAGATTGAAGTGAAATATTATGAAATTTGAAGGAGGAAAATATTTAGAAAAAATAAACAAAAATAATAATTACATATTAAAAAGTAGGAGAGTGAAATAAGTGAAATGAAAAAAAAAAGATGGCGGTAAAAGAAAATTTTGTATTGTTGTACAAGTTAAAATGACACGGTTGAGAACGAGGAAAAATATTGGAACGAGAATAATCAAAATAAAGAATGAAGAAGTGATAGAATATTTACCAGAAAGAGGTGGGAACGAAACAAGAAAAAATATCGAAGACAAAAAATTTAATTTTAGATCTGTGGTCAATGACATTGACTTAGGTTTTCAATTTAGATTAGAAAGTTATGGCTTTTGAGGCTGGTTATATGTTTTCTGGCACAACTGCTACATCCTACGCATTCACTCTGACAAACGTTCACTTCTCCAGATTAATCTTACTGGATATCATGTCTGTAAAAAAAAAAAAAAAAAACCAAAAGAAATTTTGAAATATTGATTTCCTTACAATTCCGGTGACAAGGAAAGAAAACTTTTGCGTTTTTTTTTTTTGCATAGTCCTGAGAATATAATTATACCGACATGCGATCAACAAATTCGCAGATTCTAGGTTTAAATAGTAATTTGTGCATACTCAATGAATGCAGTTGCCAAATAATCTTTCTATAAACACTGTACAACATTAATCGTGGCAAGCAACTAAACCCAAAACTACTAGATTTAGTGAGTAACATAACATGCTGAAAAAACACTACTTTATTTTTTCTTGTTGAAAAAGGACACAGGCGTGTCCGAAAATTCCAATTTTTAACATCTTTAGTTAAAATGCCTATTAATATAGCTATCCTAATATATATATATATATATATATATATATATATATATATATATATATATATATATGGTTGGATAGATGTGAGTTTGTGACCCTGGGTTTCACGCTTTAGCGATCGTCAGATCGTCAGGTGTTTGTCTGACGATCGCTAAAGCGTAAAACCCAGGGTCACAAACTCACATCTATCCAACCAAATATGTTAGCTCTATCTCTGATATTGAGCGCTTTCTAATAAGTACCGCGCATATAATATATAAATAATTATACATATATATATTTGTTTATATTTATACACTTTTCACACACACACACACACACACACACACACACACATATATATATATATATATATATATATATATATATATATATATATATATATAATGTTGCTGCCTAAATCCGTAGACCAATATTGATGAAAATTTGCATACACGTTAAACTAACATCCAGTTTGTTACTAGGCTAATTGTTTTTTTTTTATAAAAATCTACAATGGCACGGCTAGGGCCACAAATCGCAGCTCGGTGCGTGTCTACACGAAACGCTGTTGACTGTGTTTAAGCAAGGGAGATAATTGATATCGCAAAATTTTTAGAAATTAAGTCCTTTTTTTGGGCTACATATTTTGAATTGTTTTTTGCCTGTTATTTTATAAGTCGCTTTGCGATTTTAGTATTAATAACTTATTGGCATTTCCTACAAGAATCTTAGAGGCGGCGGTTGGGTATTCTCTGTGGACGTAAAAAAGACGTTTCACTGATACTTACTTTGAATTGTTACTTTCGGATAAACGAATAAAGGATATGAGAACGGGAACTGTGGATGACACCCGCTTTCCCAAGAATTACCGGGTATGTCAGCTAGTATACAATAAATATTATTAGTCTTATCAATATTACTATTATTATTTTTATCTTACCAGTTTCTTTCATAGGTATACTTTATCTATCTATCTATCTATCTATCTATCTATCTATCTATCTATCTATCTATCTATCTATCTATCTATCTATACAGGGTGCGATGGATAAATTGTCGTCTAAATTACGCAAAAATGAAAATAATACTCATTTTAACAGATATATTTACCAAAATTTCTTGAAATACTAAAGAGTAAATTTAACGATGGCCTCCGTACGACTTCGTAATCTCCTGCGACTTTTCTGGACGGTCTCCTTGTTCAAGTTGGTGAATGTTGCCATGATCTTTGCCTTTAGTTTATCTTTGGTTTTGTTGTTCTCTCGCTCAACTGCAGCCCACAGATAATAATCATGGAGATTGCAGTCTGTGGAGATAGGTCATCAGATGTAAGGAGTGATGCGGTTTCCGAAATTGTCTGACCGCCATGACCGGTTCTCCTGCTTGTGTGGCAGGATGCAAGGTTTTGTTGCCAGACATAGGGTCTTCCAGCAGCTACCCTCTTGGCCCAGTGCAACACTAACTCATCAAGACTTCATGTAAGCTTCCCTGTTCAGTTTGAAGCCATCACCAACGAATTAGCCAGCATTAAAAGCATTAAAAGCACATCAGATCAAATGATGACTCACATTGGGTTTACAGGTTCTATTCCTGTCAGAGAAGTAGAAATTTTCTGCAAAATTACTCGAACATTCTGGACGGTAAATGTAATATGTAAATGTAATATATAATTCTTATTATTATTAGTAGTAGTAGTATTGACATTATTATATTGAACACTTGTATTTGAAATAGACGGTATATTTTGTTTCATTTTAAACGGTGTGCATTGCCTGCGTATTACTTCTGTCGGCTTGAGAATTCGATACAACTTAATAAATCTTTATTAGAATTTCTTTAATATATATAATGTCCACGCGACTGGCTTGGTGATAAGCAGACACAGTTAGATTCATGTTGATCCCATTCAGTCAAATCTTAATCAATAAAATCGCCTTTTCGAGCCGTACGTTTACTTTGGCTTGATTCCTGCTTTCCTTAGCATTATGACCAGCTACGCAAAGTAGAGTCTGTTTTCACTGTTGATGTTTTCGTATAGTTATCGCTCATAATACACTCTCGTATATCGAGCGGTCAAACAGACACAGAAAGTTCGATGGGAGTTATTTAAAATACACTGCGTTTGTATTGCAAATGCTTAACACCATTAGTTTTTTCCGTAAATTTACTTTTTAAACAAATAATCATCTGCCAGTTCATAGCAGATAACGTTTGTTTGTTTATTTAGAGACATACCAATTCCTTTGGGGTCATTTAATGCCGAAATTTTATTTTCCACTGAGCATTAGCAATTTCTTTTACCAAAAAATCTACTACTGATAATTTCTTTTCCAGAAATGTATTGCTGGCAATTTTTTAACTATAAAACATTATTGCTGGTATTTTTACTATATTGCTGGTATTTTTACTATATTGCTGGTATTTTTACTATAAAACTCTACTTTTATACTTTCATAGTGTTTTGATTCCAGTTTGGTGGTTAACTATTTGCCTATAGCTGGGGCTTTAACAGGTGCTACCACCCCGGTTCAAGGTAGACCTGGGGAGAACAGCATTTAAGAGGTGGCGTCTCAAAACGTCCCAATCAGAGGCCTTGCTTCCGGATGAAGTTTATCGTCATACCCAAGACGAGTGGATAACGTTGCCGCCGTTGTCGATGTTTGCGAATAATCGTCTGTACATGTTGCGAGCCAAACGGAAATAAGACATCCTCTGGAATTTGACATGAGCAATGGATATTTATTATTTTTCTAAGTCGGCGTTGATGGAAACCTAGCTATTTAATGTATTTACAACAAGGGCCCTCTTATTTAGGAGGACTTCATGTGCTGTGGCGTAATGGATGACGACTCAGAAGAAATCAAAGAGCAGAGTCCCAATTCTAGTCGAGTTCAATACATACACGTACGGGTAAATACCCTTTGAAAGGTAGCAATCAAGCTATTCTCCCTCCAGATATGGGTTAAATAGCAAAACAGGTTTAGCTCTGTATCTTTGGTGAGCAACCATTTAAAAGACAGTGATTCTATAAAGATAACCATTTACCAGCAGCTTGTGCCACTCGTGCTAATGTATCGGTCCATAAAAATGTTCAATGACTGAGATTTTGAGGCAACAGTAATGTGATTCTACGGAAGGATGCTGAGGATACCATTAAGCGAACATGTGAGGAACGATGAAGTTTTAGAGAAAACAGATACGAAAAGAAACTATTAACATCAGGAAGGGAGAGTTGAGATTTTAGGGTACATAATGAAGAAAGAAGGCTTGAAAAATCTGACACTCACAGGACAGATTGAAGGCAAAAAGAGACAGAGCAAAACAACGCTTGATATTACTAGTGAGACTGGGTAAATAGATGTCGAAAGAGGGTTTGGTAAAAAGTACAGAAAGACGAAATTTATTAAGAGCCTAATGGGACAAGAAGTTGTGGAGGGCTATGATGAGGGGACACGGCACGTAGAGAAATAAAACAATCATTGTTGACCCTTAAAGCCAGACACGAACTGCAAGTGACTCGAAAGCTTAGTCCTTAGTGGAGATTAATCTCATGATTCATCATGGTTTACAGTTCGCTTAATGTATGGAAGCTTATCAAAATAATAGATTTAAGAGTGTACATGCAATTTGTCTGTCGCTGGTTAAAAGTTTCTTTTGGTTGATTGTTTCTTTAGATTCATTGTCAAATAGAAAGATTCCAATAGCTGCTGAATGCCTATTACTGAATTAGCCTCCTTTGAATTTTAAACGAGACTATAGCCATGGCTACGCTGGACATCTTGAAGTAATGCATAAAATGATTTTATTTTTGACTGAAGACATTAAAAATTAAAAGAATACCTATGGGGCTATATCAAATTTTGCCATCGTACAACCTTGCAAAACATCAATCACCAATAGGAAATAGATTAAAACATTTTCCATCATCGAATACAGAAAAGTATGATTGGATTCGAAATTGTAGGGATTGTATAATTGATAAAATAAAAAAAAGAAAAACAACACACAATAATATAAAATATATACAAAAAAAATATAATAAAAAAGAAGAATCTCCCATGATGCTCTCTGACAGGAAGTACAAATAGCGCAAGCGCGAATAAAGTTATGCTTCCTGGCGCCAAAGTCAAACAAGAAGAATCGTTCTCTTTTGTTCTTTATGAACAAAGAAAATCCTATTGGTTAGTACCATATTTACCTCATATTTCTTCCCACGGGTGCAGATATGAGTTTTCTAAGGAAGCACAGAAAGAAGTTTACGGTTCATTAGTAGATTCTATAGTGGGTGCATAAGAACTAAATACTTTCGTAAAAAAGCCTATGATTAAGACTTAAGTGAATAATTATAAATATCTCAACTACTCCAGATATTGAGTCACAAGCTTGTATGTATGTGAACACAGACACCCTGCAACATCCAACCTCTATGCTTTTACAAAATGTTTATTTATCACTGACCTGTCTCGTCCAGCAATGACAATACTATGTCAACGTTGTTCCCTGGCAACGATCTCTTTCTTTCTCTGTGGAAATATATTATATTCTTACATCCCACTCGGCACGCCATTTTTGTTTTCCCTCCAACCATCCATTTCAGGATTCCATGTGACCTGTGCGACAAGCTGAATGTCTGTCATTTGCGCTGATCTGGATAGATATGTAAATGAACCAGCGTAATGTTTAGCTCACTTTTCTAATCCCTTAGACGAGCAGTGCCATTCCTAAGTAAGGCTTGCTCAAACACTTGTGAATCGACCGAAATCTTATTGATACACATGCTACCAATCTACAAACCGGTAGATATGTGACACTAACACGACAAATCCGTACGTCTCGGAACTGGACTTTAAAGACAAATAAAGGCGTCAAAACATAAATAACAAACACAAAAGATTTCAGATCAGTGATGCATATACAGTTATTTAATGTCAGATCTGGCTTGCACAACACTTCATCGACTATCTCTTTTTTCAAGTACGAGGGTCGTCGGAAAAGTTCATAGGCTGACCAAACCAGCTGTTGTATGTATTCTGGTACACTTGTATGTCTTTTATTCTACCAACTTGTGTGTTCACTTACATTTACTGGGTAAAACAGCGACATTATTCAAATCGTGTAAAAGTATACTCATTCATCCCCCAAAATGTTTAATATCTAACAAAAACGAAACTGTGTTTCTTTTGCCAGGTTTACAGATAAGACATGTACACAGTATTTTTCATAAGAATCACTGAAAAACCCTTTGAGTTATTCAGCTAAAAAGGAGAGCATGTTAAAATTTTGTGTCAGACCTACTGTCTTCCCAACTGAGCAATAGTGAGAGGAAAAAATCATTCAGGCCTTTAGTAATGGTACGAATTTTAATACTCTGGCCTCCATCTTTGAAGTTCATTCAAGTACCATCAAGAGAACGATGAATAAGTTTAAAAAAAAGCGAAGAGTAGAGAGGAAAACTGGATCAGGAGGTCAAAATAGAAAGAGGTATCATCATTACAGATAAAGAGATCAATTAGAAAAGTTCCACCTCGACTCATACGACATTTGGCACGTGAGTTTCACCCATGACAGTCGAAAGAGCAGTGAAAATAAACTTGGAAATAAAATCGTGCGTGAAACATGTGAGGCACATTGTTACTCCAGGACAGAAAGAATAACTAGAAGGTTAGAGAATAATAAGATTATCTTGAATAACTTGGAAAATGATCCTGAAATAATAATAATTAATGATTTAAAATAATTATTTTCGCTACACAGTTCCAACCACACACAAAAATAGAAAAAAACCCTATTTTATTTTTTTTGCAAATATATATATATATATATATATATATATATATATATATATATATATATATATATTTTCCTTTTATGACAGTATCATTGTATCTATATTTATTTTTTACACTTGACGATTGAATGTGATCCTGAATTTAAAAAAAAAAAAAAAAATAAAAAAATTTTCAACGTCATCTTTTAAAATTAAAGATTTTTTTTAAATACTTTTTATTTAACTACGATTTGAAATATTTTCCTTTTTAATTTTATTTTACTATATTTTTTTAAGAACAGTTAAAATTGCCATTATCGTCATATGACTACAAAACATAAGATAAATAAAAGCTTATATATATATATATATATATATATATATATATATACCCATTCACTTTTCACAAAATTACAACAAAATTTTAAAATATATATATAGACTATATTACTTTATAACAGAAAATTACTCATATTAAGTAAGATGGATTAATGGAATATATATATTTTATATATAATATATGTAACCTATATATATATATATATATATATATATATATATATATATATAAAAAATATATATATATATATATATATATATATATATATATATATATAATATGAAAAAAACTTCCATCCTTCTCAGAATTAGTAAACTTTAGTATTAATTCAAGTTTAAGTATGTATATGAGGTTACATTTTTTTTTTTTTTTTTTTTTATATATATTAATGATATAATGATGGGTCTTATTTTCAAATTTTATTTTACATGTTCTTTTTAGTGCGTAGTATTATTTAAAAGAAACTTAGGTTAGAATTCATTCAATTTAACTTTTTTAGTTTCATTTTAAAATTACAAACTTTAAACTTTTGATATTTCATTTTAGTTATATTAGACTATATTACTTTTATAACAGTAGATAGAAATTATTTAAAAGCATTCTTAAAAATTACAGTTAGTACAAATTAAAAAAGTAGATATAACTTTTAGATCTAAATAAAATACATACACACCTTATAAAAACCCAACACCAATCCTTTATATATAAATCCTAAATCAAATCCCCCCATCTATAAAAACATACTTATAAGTAATTCCAGTAGGATATCTTTAATCATTTCTAAAAGATACAACGGTTCAGAGCTTAATTTAACAATTGAACAATTTTGCTGTTATGCGTTTTAGACAATGTTGCAGTTCCACAGAGTAAATATATAATTGTCGAAACCCCTCAAAATTGCCCACTACAAAATAAATGTTGCACTGAATCATTAGTATACCAATATTGAAAATCAAATATATAGGTTGCGTTTTAAAATCAAACATCTCTCAAAATATTTCTGCATCTAAAGAATCAAATAAAACACCTGCACACCGAAATTGTCAAAAAAAACTGAATCAGAGAAATAATATATGTATTTCCTTAAATAATATATAAAAAAAAAAAGAAAAAAAAGTCCCGTGAATGGCCAAAATGTTTTAAACGTTAAAAATTGTTAAAAACATAAACACCGTTTAAAAAATTGTAGTTAAATAAATGTATCCAACCAAACGCTTTGAAATAAATGAAATTATAACCAAAAGTTGTAAATTGTTCTGAGATGTAAAATAAATAATTTTAATTAATTAATATGTGATGTAATAATATTTAAATGGCTTTATATATACTTTGTTATGGAAAATAATTATACTTAATTGTTAATAACAATGAAAAATATTTTAAAATTTTAATGTGGTGAATTGTGTTAAAAAAATTAAGTTCGTTATATTCATATACATGCAAATATTTTTGGGAATGTCACAGATCCATATTGAAAATAATTTTACTTACTTCTTTATAAAGTAATGTCTAATATAAATAATAAAATGAAAATATTTCAAAAGTTTAAAGTTTGTAATTTTAAATTGAAACTAAAATTAAAGTTAAATTGAATGAATTTCTAACCTAAGTTTCTTTTAAATAATACTACATGCACTAAACGAATACCAAAAAAGCAAATATAGTAAAATAAAATTAATATGAAATGCCATAAGATGTAAGCTTTTGAATGACCCATGTCCTTTGTACTTACACATGAAACATTATATCACTAGGTTTATATATATAAAAAAAAAAAAAAAAAAAAAAATGTAACCTCATATACATACTAAACTTGAATTAATACATAAAGTTTACTAATTTAGAGAAATGACTTAGATAGTTTTGTAGTCTGGGCCATTAATATTACTTAAATAATATCTAAATTAAAAGTTTAAAATTGTAATTTATATATACTTTGATAGGAAAAAAAAAATTTTTACTTACTATGAGTAATTATCCTTCTGTTATAAAGTAATATAGTCTAAATTAAAACTAATAATGAAAAATATTTTAAAATTTTAAAGTTATAATTTTAAAATTTTAAAATTGAAATTAAAATTGTAGTAAAATAAAATGAATTCTAACATGTTATTTATACATACATATGAAACTTTATTAATTAGGTTACATATATTTGAAATAAATAAATAAATTAATTAATAAATAAATAAAGTTTACTAAATCTGAGAAATGACTTAGCTAGTTTTGTAAGTGCCATTATTATTACTTAAATAATATTTAAATTTAAAGAGAAGAAAAGGAAAAAAAAAAAAAAAAAAAATTTATATATACTTTGATATGGAAAATAATCTTACTTAATATGAGTAATTTTCTTCTGTTATAAAAGTAATATAGTCTATTAAAAAACTAAAAAAATGAAAATATTTTAAAATTTTAAAGTTGTAATTTTGAATTTGTAATTAAAATTGTAGTTAAATTGAATGAATTTAACCAAATTTCTTTTAAATAATACTACAATGCCCAAGCTATGGGTTAATTATGACTTGTATCACTAAAGGATTATTATCCATCCGCAAAATTCTTATATTTTAGTAATATTTTCTGACTTGAAATAACCTGCAATGGATTGATAATCGGTAGAACTAAAAAAAGTAAAATAAAATTAATATGAAACACGACCATAACATGTAAGCTTTTTAATTTTTTGTCCTCAGTACCTATAAATATTCCCTAGTCCGATCCTCGTAATGTTAAAATAATCCTACAAGGACATTGACCAAAATATAGTGTGTGCTGTTGCTTTTATTGTAATTGTTATATAAGTGTGTTTCAATCACAGATAACCTAAAAAATAAAATAAAATAATAATTTATAATATTAAAAATTTACATTGAGCAATTATTTTGCACCGGATTTTATTTTACTGTCATTGTATACATTATATATATTATATATATCATTTATATTTATATTTGAACAGTTAATCCTTTCCATCTGGTTCTGCTATCTTGAAGGAAATATTATAATATATATGATCTCAGAAGATTTTTACAGCATCCTTCATGAAATAGAAATAGTTTTGTTAAGCTTCGAGGGAAATTATACATTCTTATTGCTCAAAGTAGAGTCCAGTAGTGTCATAAAAAATTGGAGAATTCCAGTAGATATCTTTAATCATTTCTAAGATACAACGGTTCAGAGCTTAATTTAACAATTGAACAATTTTGCTTTAATATAAATCTTCCTGGTTACAACAAACACGGTAATAAGTGGTGAATACTAAAAAGTCAAACTGAGAGAACTGTTCCTTAAGTTGTTATATCTATATACATGCAAATATCTTTGGGAATGTCACAGATCCATTTTCCTGCCCAAGCTATGGGTTAATTATGACATCAAAGTAACAATCTGTTATTATCTAAATCAATTACATTTATATTTTGGTTCCCTGCCGATCCTCGTATTGACCAAAATATAGTGTGTGCTGTTGCACGCCCACAGTGAACCAATTGATCATTTTTTCCATCTGGTTCTGCTATCTTGAAGGAAATCTTATA